GTTTTTGCATTTAGTAACAATATGCGTGGGGATCCTGAAAGAACTTGACATACAGTGACATACATCATACCTGGACCTTCCTCGCCATTTCAGGCGCCCAATTCATCTTTGCCAGAGAAAGCACAACAAGCCCTATCTCTTTGCTCGTCATACCCCCACCCAAAAAACACACAGTGAAAGGTCATTTTGCTGAGGCCAAATTCTTATGAGATTCGGTCTAGCAAACATGCGCATCCCCTCCGTCGCTGTGCTCATGGCTGAAAAACACCATCCCCGGAAACCATATTTACCGTACCAGGACCATCCAAGGGACACCTCCAGGGTTGAGCGGCTCCCCAAATTGAGGGATTGGGATACGGACAACCAAAAAAACAATTTAGAGACTAAGCCGTTTCCCAATCACCCGAAGATGGCACGAAGTCCCAGCAAGTCAGCCTGAGCCAGCCCCGTCAAGTCTTGGAAAAAGCCAATGGCACCGCCCACCTGAAAGAAATTCGTCGTGTGAGGATGGGGCATGGAAAACACCAATCAGCGAAGAGCAGTGGTTCAAGGTATGATTGAAAGAGGTACATATATACACGTATATATTATAGTCACATGATGTATATATATATATATACACGATTATACACGTATAATATATTATAGTCACATGATGATCACATCACTAGTCACATCAAGAGGACAAAAATAATGATCCAAAGGATTTGAAAGGGTCGACCCAGAAATTGGCGTGTCGGGCCTGGACCGTTGATTCTCTTTGATTCCATCACTGGTCGGAGGGCCTGCTGTTGGCACCCCCACCTCTCTCGACCCCCACAGGATGTTGGCACCTGTTCGTCTACAAATGAAAGGGGCTCCAGCCACGCGCGCCTCTCGCGTCTGCAGGTGCAGCAAGAACCGCCGCCGTTTGGAGGCCGTTCCGTAGATCGTACCGCCTCCAGGCCGAGCTGGACGAGTCCAGGTGGCACCGTGGACATTCGGTCGAACAATACGAACAACGCGGTTGGTATAAAGCTACATGACTCTTACATGACCTTCTAATCCGTAGATCGTACCTGGAACCTAGACGTGACCCCTGTGCTGGACATCTTTTGGAAAAGACTTGAAGAGACCGTATTTGGGGTGGCTGGCGGTTCAAGAATTAGAGGTTTCTCAGGTTCACAATATACACAGTCTGAATCACTTCTTGATGGATTCTGCCCCCCACGCTGGACCTCCTTGTTTCGTCCGCATCTCGGAAGTTCAAAGACGGAAAGGCCCATGCACTTGAGAAAGGCCCATGAACGGGAGCCCAAGATGCCATCCACCCCCCTGCCTTGCAAGGACCAAGACGCCTCCACGGGCGCGAACTCCGAAAGGGCCTGGTGGGACAGGGTGCGACTGATAGGCTAAGTGGAGGGTGCGTGGAGAAAGGGGGTCAGCAAAAATCGCTTATACGAAGTTAGTGCATCAAAAATACCTTCCACGAAGTTCTGCGAAGGTTTCTGGGATTTCGTTGCAGTCAGTTCTCCTACTGGCCCACCATTCCACGAACTTTCCACGAATAGCCTTGGGTTCTACGAATGTCCCACGCCTTCCACGATGTTAGTAGAACAGGTTTTTGCAAAACCCTTTCTGTGCACTACCCTTCCGTTTGCCTGATTCGGAGGAGCCGCCCCACGCTGGCCCACGCCTCCAGGGCCAGCACGCGCTCAAAGGCTCCGGCAACTGCACCCTGAGCTCTCGAGCGTTCTGCGAAAAACTTCGGTACTTTGAGTGGGTGAATTGGTCAGACTTGGGTTTTGATCAAGTTCTTTCTCTGGAAAGCCTCTACCAAAAACCCATCTAGACCCAGGAAATGACCCCTCGACCCGTCGGCACGTCTGCAAGCCAGAAGTCCCGAGCGTCCCAAGGTCGATCAGAGAAGCGATGCGCTTTCAGGATACAGAACAGAGTGCATCCGTCTCGTAAGCATGGAAGCCTTGGTTGGAACAAACAATAATTCATTCAATCGAATTTCAAAAATATATATATTTATATACTGTATAGAGAAAGACATCTCAACTACCCCAATCCGCCCGAAACTCACCAGACCCATCCGGAACCCATCCTCGCGCACACGGCCCACCCCCCAACACTCTGTCGGCTTCGGAGCGCCGTGCTGGTCAAACAGAACACCGGGTCAGCCTCTTCGTCCAAGGCTTTGAGCTCACGCCCGAAGACCTGTGGGTGAAACAACTCGAGATGGCTGAGCTCCCCACCCACATAAGCCAAAGGCTCGCGGGAATGGCCCCAAGCCCACACGTGGAAGCGCGACGTGACCGCCCGGGGGGCCAAAGCAAAGCGAAATGGTCAATGGAAGTTGTGGCTCAGTTTGTTTGGGGGTGGGGGGGTTGAAGGTCTATTTTGGCAGCCACCCGTCGGCACTGAAGTACCTCAATTCCAAATGAGGCACCCTGCCTTGCCATCACTATGTTCATCATTGACGGGATCATTGAAGTTGCCCATCAAAGAGCCAAGGAGGAGGGAGTGCCTTTTTTGTTTGGGAACCAAATTGCATGTCCGGATATGTCCGGCATCGTGAGGTGATATGAGGTGCGTCTGGAGGGGAAGTGGTGGTGAGAGAAAACATGCTAAAACACTGCGAAAATGAAAGGTCTTGCAACATTTGATTTGGAAGTGGTGTGCCATACAATCGAACATAAAGTGGCACGCTTTAGTGAGAAATAACCCAAACTGCTGAAAGGAGTCGTTGTTTGCCTGTCAGGGATCTGGTGATGAGAATGACACAATAATCAGACACAACGCAAAACTATACAATAAGCATGGTCGACATGCAGTAGGATCTTGTAGGAAATAGCAAAATGGACAGGCATTGTCGGGTGTATATATATTATACCTTGGCGCTTAAAAAGGCATTGTTGAATATAAGTTGGACCCCCAGAAAAATGTACAACTTCCAGGGGGGGAAGATTAAGACATATATAAAGATTTGTTTAAAAAAAACTATCCCGGCAAGAGACCCCAAACAGTGTGTGTAAGGTCTGTAAGCAGAAAGTCTGGAGATATAGACGCATTGGGGTCCAGAGAGGTGATGGTGGTGATAAAGTGAAGGTGGGTGTGAGTGAGTGTGGGTGAGAGGGAGTGTGAGTGTGAGTGAGAGTGGGAGAGAGAGTGTGAGCGCGAGTGTGAGTGAGAGTGAGAGTGAGACTGAGTGGGTGCGAGTGTGAGTGAGAAAGAGCGTGAGTGAGAGACAGTGAGTGAGTGAGTGAGTGAGTGGGTGAGTGAGTGAGTGAGTGAGTGAGAGAGTGAGAGTGAGAGTGAGAGCGAGTGTGAGTGAGACTGAAGGTGGGTGAGTGTGTGGGTGAGTGAGTGTGCGTGTGAGTGTGATTGCGAGTGTGAGTGAGAGCGAGTGAGAGCCTGCGAGTAGGAGTGAGTGGGTGTGAGTGTGAGGAGTGTGTGAGTGGGTGGGAGAGTGATGTGAGCTGAGAGTGAGTGTGAGTGGGACTGAGTGTGGATGAGAATGAGTGTAAGTCGTGAGAGTGAGTGCGAGTGGGAGAGTGAGTGTGAGTGCGAGTGTGAGAGTGAGAGTGGGAGCGTGAGGGAGTGTGAGTGTGAGTGAAAGTGGGAGAGTGAGAGCGGGAGAGTGAGAGAGTAGCCACGAAATCTGCACTTTGAGGTTCACCAAGTGCTGTGCCTGCCACGAAATCTGCACTTCGAGGTTCACCATGCGCTGTGCCTGCTACTGCGCCTGCCACGAAATCTGCACTTCGAAGTTCACCAAGCGCTATGCCTGCCACGAAATCTGCACTTCGAGGTTCACCAGGCGCTGTGCCTGACCAAGTGCTGCGCCTGCCGCGAAATCTGCACTTCGAGGTTCACAAGGTGCTGTACCTGTCACGAAATCTGCACTTCGAGGTTCACAAAGTGCTGCACCTGCCACGAAATCTGCACATCGAGGGTCACAGAGTGCTGTGCCTGCCACGAAATCTGCAAACGAGCCACATGTCCAAAAGTCACGATTCACTGCACCTGTCACGAAATCTGAGCTCCTCGACGATCACCACCATGTCCAAAGTGCTGCACCTGCCACGAAAACTGCATTTCTAAGCAAAACACCTCCGATCCCTTGCACCTGTCACGAAAAGTCGACTTTGGAGCACCAAAACACGAGGTGCCCCTTGCGCCTGCCACGAAAAGTGACCACCATGTGCGAAAATGCGCACGGCACCACAACGAGAGCGCAGTCGCCAGAAGCACCCGCCGCAGACACTCAGATTCTGCGAGCCTGCGCAGTCGAAGTGCACATGGACGATGTCGAGAGGCATGAATGTACTGTAAATAGCAACGAATTAGCCGTTTACGGATGCGCGCTTCAGCGATCTAAGCATCAGCTTCCTTTTTCCTACCGTAAGAACCCCTCAGTGTGCCCACACTGGTTTGGGGAACCATCCTATTCAACCTGATAGAGCCCAAATCAATCGAATACAAATCACTCATTGTTGAAGTTGGACCCCTTGAAGCTTAAAGAGGTACAGTTTCAAGGCGTCATATGTGTTTGAAATGTATCATCGCATCTACATACACTCTCGGCCCTGGCTATACTTGGGTTCACCACGTATCTCCCTGGTTTCTGACACCTCTAGCTACTAGTAGCGATGGCCTCTACCTCGATATGTCTCAGACCCAAAGGATCGATAGGCCATGCCCACGCTGTCTCTCAAAACCACTGGTGCGGACGGAGCGACCGATCGTCGAAGCAAGCGACCTGATACATTCAGTTGCCAAACTCAAACATACAGTGGACATGATATGACATCAACCCGAAACGCCTTTCGGAATTCCATCCGACCCTCGCTCCGAATCGTTCCTTCTTGAAGTTTCGCTTTTGCTTATATATGGAGCCACACACGGGGCCAACGTTTTCCAACCCTCCCATCTCCTGTGTTCTGTCATCTATTTTTGATCGCTTGCCGTTCGAAGCTCAGCTTCCCTTTTCGGCATCATCGTAACATGCTTCACTGCTGCCCCTTGGGCGTTGAGACGCGCTTCAAATGCTGTGGGAGCAAGGACTTCCTCTGCTCGACTGGCACCAGTCGAGGGAACCTGAAGCGACTCGGGAGAACATCCAACGCAGTGGCTTGTGAGAGAATTAGAGCTTGAGAAGCCTGTGCAAGGCGGGTAGAAACCATTGTCCAGCATCCCGAAACATCTTCTACTGTAGATACGCAAGCCGCACCAATCATCAGAAACTCTTGATTTAGTCATGAGCCTCCTCATTTGGGTGTCCCACGTTGCGAGCGATGTGATACATCCTCACCCCGTCCACTCTGTTGCGCTTGGTGCCATAACCCCACCCCTTTCCATTGACCAAGTGACCAGTGGCACTTCACCACTGCGGGTGGCAACAGCGACGCGATGAGCACCATCACCTGAGGCGACCGTGAGCGACGCGTCATCACCGACCCGCGAGCGACGTCGCGTCAGGGGTCGAGCACCCATGGTTGGGACAAGTGGGACAAGTCACGAAAAGTGGGGCTCGTGATGTCTGGAGGAGCACCCTAGAACAACTGGAGGGCATAACCGTGGCACCAGTCACCCACCAACACCCAGAGCTACAAATACTTCTTATGCAAGCTATAGGTTTGTCCACTGGTTGCTTAAATCTCCACTTGCAGGAAAAATCACGTCTCAAATGCCTTCCCAACCAAAGGCCGCAATTTTTGAGACATACACTTGTAAAAGGGTGCACGTTAAATGTTGATGTTTTTTCGTTTTTTTCTCAAAAACATTGGAATAGAGCAGGTTTCTTATTAGTACCTAGCTAATTACAGCAATTTCGTGTCCTTAGCCGAGACACAGGTGTCGTAGCTGGCCAAATACATTGGGATAGCGCAGGTTTCATATTAATTGCTAGCTGATTAGACTAATTTGGGAGCTGTCGTAGCTGGCAAAATACATTGGAATAGTGTAGGTGTCAGAGAAAGTCCTACGTTAGCAGAGAAACAGTAAAGAGAAAGAGAACCAGCACAGGAGGCATATATGATTGGTTACAAGTTTATGCCCCGGGGAGTTCACCTTAAAATATTGACTTCGTGGCAGGCGCGGGTGTCGGAGATGCAGCACACCAGATCCAAAAGTTAGAAAGCAAACACATGGAAAAGCAAAAACAAAAAGAGAAAGGAGAACAGCTGCCAAAGCAGAAAAGCAACAAAAGCAAAGAGCAGAAAGACAAAAACACAAAAAGCAGAAAAGCAGCAGAAGCAGAAAAGCAGCAAAAGCAGAAAAGCAACAAAAGCAGCAGAAGCAGAAAAGCAAAAGCAGAAAAGCAACAAAAGCAAAACAAGCAGCAGAAGCATAAACGCAGCAAAAGCAGAATCCGAGAAAAAAAACATGCAACAAAAATGAAAAAAGATCACGAAAAAAAACGCCCCTCCCTTGTAAAAGGATGTGCAAAGGCGCTTACTTTGTGAGGGGTGCAGAAATTCCTCAGCCTTAAACGTCTGCAGTCTGCGAAAGCAAGCTTGCTCATGAAGGCCCAGAACGTGTCCCTTCACCTTACTTCAAATCCTCTTGTATCCCCATGTCTGGTGAGCTTCCATGTATTGACATCTTTAAGACCAAGCGCCACTAATGAAGCAACATGTTTGTATACACTCCTTGAAGCGACATGTGGAGGACCCACCTGTTTGGTATGTGGAAAGTTATCATCCAACTGGCCAATGTTTCACTTCCATGAATGTCCTTACTTCAGTTGCAGACCGGAGAGTTTGAGGTCGTTTCGGACAGGTTCTCCTGCGTTTGTGTTAGTACTAGGTGCCATGGAGCTTGACTTCATCTGTTAGACGTGTTACCTTTCGTTTACCCTTTTAGGGGTGGAAGCCAGTGGGACCCCCGGTCAGCTTTCGGCCCCTGCCAGCGATCGATGATCTCCCACAAGAAGGAACACGGAACAAATCTGGAAACTATATATATATGTATACTGTATATCTATCTATCTATCTATCTATCTATCTATCTATCTTGCTCTGGAATCCTTGATCGTGCCAGGTGTTCACAGCGACGACCGTGACCTTCCATCTCTGAAGGTAGTTACTAAGGGGTTTACACTCCCTGACATCATCGATGGAAGTGGAAAGCCACCTGTTTGGTATTCGGAAAATGGTCGTCCTTACAGGGCCATTCAGGACCACATCCGGTTTGGTCCTTTTTTGCTGCCTCTGAAGGGCGTGAGTCGGGTCAGAATCACGCTACACCGTGCCACCCAGGGGCGGAGGTATAAAGCACCAGGCCCAAGTACTCCAGGGCAGTCCAGGAGGCCCAATGACTTAAGCTGACAGGTGCCCAGTGGTTGTGGAGAGCAGCTACGACACAGAGATCCACCTGAGGCAGAAACTAAGAGCAGGACGGCTGGTTGCGTATGGATCCACAAGTGCGGGTGATCGATTGTTCAAGGCAGCCTCAGCCTCATGGCCATAGCTGGGACTTTGAACGCTTGCACAGGAGTATGATTATTATACTGTTGTATATAGGCATATAGGTATCTAGAGCCTAGATCAGTGTTGCACACAAAGAAAGAATCGGGAGATAGATAGCATGCCAATGGTTCCACAATACCTCTCTCTCTCTCACTCTCTCTCCCTCTCCCTCTCCCTTTCGCCCTCTCTCCCTAGCTTTCTCTCTTCCCCTCACCCAGTGCATGTCTGTGAACCCCCCCCCCCCGAGAGGTTGCCCATCCGCCAACGGTCCCATGTCGTGCCCGGTCCCGACCAAAGCCCAAGCCGCACACAGCGCGGCAAAGAGCCCCACGGCCACGCGCCAAAGTGTGGAGACACGTGCGGCCGAGCCCAGGAGCTGCAAGGCACGCAGGAGGGTGAGGCACCTGATCCATGTCTGAGTGACCCATGTGATCTTCATCCAGTCTGAGTCCGGATCCCGAGTCGCGTCTAGCGGCGCTGGACGAGGGGTCCTGGATTTCAACAGTTTTCTGAAAAAGGTGCTGGTGAGGTTACACTACTGCTGATCCTTGACAGCTTAACATGGATGACCCATGGGCGACGACTGGTCTTTCATCCATGGATGTTCTTTTTTCCGTCGCCGCCGCGGTCAGGTCATGTCCTATGTCTCTGTGCGGAGGCCCCAAGCTTAGCTTGCTGTGATTGCGCGGTGGGGATCGACCGAAGAAGCGAGAATGGTCAGATCTGTGCTGTCTCAGCGGTCGGTGGGTGCCATCCCACGGATTCCAACTGGTGTCAAATTGAAGGAAAGGCGTCAAGTTACTGCTGTGAATCATCGGCTTGTGGCTCCAAAACCACAGGACCATCAAGGAACCCAATCAAGCACGTGACTGACATGGAAGTGGAAGACATGGTCCTCGGAAGACTGTGTGTACTTTCCTGGAAACGAACACGGTATCCTCCGTGTGAGTGAGTCGGTTTATCAACCTACCAAGAATGTCAACCTACCATGGCGTTCGGTTCGTGCGTGGCGTTAAGGCCCCATCCGCTGTGAGCCGCAGATGCGATGCTTCGATGCGATGATTCGAAGCCAAGGCACATTGCTAAGCCACCAAGCTGGATGGGCAGGTAATGATACTTGAAGCCTCAAAGAGGTCAGGATTTGGCTGGGAAAGCTGCCGTGGTTGGGAGGTGATGGCGATGGTACAGAAATATCAAAAAGGTAAAGGACATATCACTACTACCGTCCGTTGCACAGAGCGCTCGGGGCCGAGTGGAATGGCTGAAGCAGTGTTTTCTTCAGCCAAGGCAATGGTTGTTCTTTCCGGAGGTGTCCCAAAACTATCGGCATGCCCTGCCCCATCCCCAACCCGACCAGCCTGGTTTGCAACAAAAACGCGTGCCCTTCCAACCTTTCCAACCGACTGCTCCAAAGCACTGGTGGTGACGGCTTGCAGAAGGTCCAGGAAGCAGCTGGTCACCAGAAGGGTCTCAAGATGCGAGGATTCCTGGCTCCCAACGAATGCAGATCGATTCTATGGCAGATTCGATATGATTCCTGGCAGATTCGACACACAGGTCGAAAGAGCAAACGTTCGGAAAACCACACAGAGTGCAGTTTCTATGGATGTTCCGACGGTCGCTGAGAAAGCCAAGGTCACGGAGTCGATCTGAATCTAGTTATACCAGAATGCAGGAGAATCCTGGCTGCTGTGCCCCGAAGGCAACTTCCTGCAGAATCCCGAACAATGTGGATGCCTCATGCTGGGGTGAACCAAATGTTGTTCCATAAGAGGAAACATCTGAGCCGAACTCGCTGACTTTTCGACCACCTCGGCTCTTTCGGGGTGGTTTCATCTCCTTTCACGGAGTGTTCTCATGTTCACATCCAGATGACAACCTCCGAATCCCAACGCTTCACATGCAATTCATCGCAAAAGTTACATTTCTAGAGAACAGTGTCTCCCCGGCCCGGCACGACTCTCATATCTCCGTCTCCTTGATGCCATGTGACAGCACTAGGTAGCAGCACAAGTCGCCTCGGTTCGGCCGCCAGCCGGTCGGCTGAGGGAGGACCGTCGGACACCTGATGTCGAACTAGCGCATTCAAGTAGATGGACACGTGGTTGACTTGGCCGCTCCATTATAGTATATAAGAGTCCTTAATTAGGTATCTCTCTCTCTAAATGTAAGTAAATAAGTGAACACATATATATATATATTGTATAACTAAAATATAATATATATTTTTAATATGTGTTTAAAGTTTAAACTTGTTCGTGAATAAGAGCCTGCACCACCGCAAGGTCAGCACCTGCCAACAGGATTCGTGGCTATGTCCTTAGAATAGCTCCCAATAAGGCAGAACAGCTCTCAAGCACCCTTTCACAGCACCTTTCCGGCCTCCCCTCTGTGCTCCCAGTGGCTGAAAACCACCGAGGCCACACTGAGACCGAAGCGAAGGTCGCCATATCGACCTGTGGCATCTGAGATCTGCGTGATGCTCGGAACCTCACTGCTGGTACCTCAAACGGTTGACGACAGGGTGACAGGGTAGAGGTCGGGAAGGAGGGAAGGACCAGGGAAGGAGGGAATGTCAAGGGACATCTTCGTCACCGAAGCGATGGTACCTTGTTTTATGATACTTTCCGTGCCGGTGAGCAACAGAAGCACGAATGATGAGTGGTGCCCTGGTGCAGTAAAAGCTGGTGCCTCACTGGAAAACGACCATCCAATGCAGACCACTGAGAGTTGGGTCAAGTTATATATGTACACCATAGTGTCACTAATGCAGGTCAGAAGTGAGTTCCGACATGTCCCTATCCGCTGGTTTGTGGATAAGGCTCTCCATGTTCTGATCTTCCTATCCAGCGGCCTTGCAAACCTTCCACATGAGGGGTCATGACAGTCATGACCTTTGATATCACCAAACATCTGTTTTGCCTTTTGGTACCACAATGTACCAAAAGTACTGCAGTTGCTGTAGCAATCAGTCAAGTTGTCACACACATCTTGACAGGACGAACTGTCATCATACGAATCTTGTGCATCATTATGTTAACGATTTGCATCTCCACACACACACAAACACACATGGAAGTCAGTCATCCTCGCCCATACTACAAGTCATCAAACTTTCATGAGCCCCGCGCACCCTTCAGATCAAATCACAGGCCTCGGCGGTTTCCATAAAAATGTGCCCCAACAAATCAACAAAAACAACCTGCCCCGATGGAAGCGATGGAATGATATGGAATCGCATCTACCTTAAGGTACCCCCTTACAGGCCACTTTGTCCAGTTGCACGTGCTCCCTGAATCCTCCTCAACCGGCGTTTTTGCCGCTCGCTCTACCACCGCGACGGGCCGTCTGAAAGAGGCCCAGCAGCAAGGATCATCGAGCATGCAATAGATCTCATAGTTCATCGCTGCGACGGCCAAGCGAAGGAGCACTCCCAAGCTCAGCAGGCACCCTGCATCGAAAGAGGCCTGGCAACTCGCCCGAGCGGAGCGACCGGAGGGTTAAAACCTCTTACACCATTGTAAAAGTTGTTGGCGCAACTCAGGGGGTAGCCACCATAGCCATAGATGGCTCAACACCACATGTCAATTGAGCCATCTTTGAGCTAGAACCATAGCCATAGATGGCGCAACTCATTTCGGTTTGCTTCCCTTTTTCCTTCCTTTCCTTTTGTTTCCTTCATTGTCCCTTTCACTCCTCTCCTCTCCTCTCCTCTCCTCTCCTC